TGGGGCAGAAGTCTGGGAGGAAGCAAGCCTGAAGACACAGCTAGTTCCAGCTAGGCTTAGCTGGGGGGCCTATATTACAAGTCCTAGTCCAGGTATCCAGTAGGGTCAGGAGAAAGCTCATAGGCGAGAGCAGGTGGGAGAGAACCCAAGTTGTCCAGAGGTGGTGTGAGTCTACATCTCTCTCACTAGGAAGAGCCAGGTGGATATCGACAGGAGGCAACCCATGATCTTGTGGCTAAGTGTGCACAAGACCCCAGTTCTCCAGACTGACAGCTTTGAAACTCTGGAAGGAGTACAGGTGACAGTCAGCCTAGAGATCCAGAGGGACATTTCCTTTGCAAGTATAGTACAGCCAGGAGTTGTATAGCTCAGCCAGTCATTTGTGTATAGCACCCAGAAGTTAAGCAGTCGTCAAGTTGTACTTTTTCACAGTTCTGGGGTATCCAATGCTCCCCATCCCTATCCAAACTCATTGTTCCCCAGTAGAAACACAAAAAGAAACCTCTAGAAGGAAAATGCCAAAAATACTGTGTGTGCTCTGAGTTGGGGGGGAGGGGGGATAGGATCAAATTCAGCAGCAGATCTTTGGGGGGGGGGGGGGGGCTACAAAGCGGAATACATTTTTAGTAAGTACAGACAGTACCTGTTGGGCTTTCTAGAAATGCTTCTGCTCTTGTAGAATCTGGAAAAGTGAGTTCAAATGTTAAACTTTGTTATCACCTTCCAGACTATCTTCTGTGCACTTTAAATCCCCCAGGTTTTCTCAACCAGAGTTCCATGGTACCCTATGGTTCCTCCAGAGCCTGCTAGGAGCTCCTTGAGTAATGAGCAATTTCTGCCTTTCAGATAAGTTCCCACTGACACCAATGATCTTTTTTAGCCATCTGTAAGGGGGGAATTCTTCCCAATGATCACCAATGTAATACTGTATAGAAGCAGGGGTTCCCTGAGACCGGAAAGTTATTTCAAGAGTTCCTTTGTGTTGAAAAAGTTGAGAAATTATTATTATTATTATACAGTATTTATAAAGCGCCAATAGTTTGCTCAGCGCTGTACATTACAAAGGGGGACAGAACATGTGACAGAACAATACCAATACAATGCAAAACATAAGGGGATTGAGGGCCCTGCTCCTTGGAGCTTACAATCTAGGAGGGAGGGGATGGTGGCACAGGAGGAGATAGCTGTGGGGGGATGGAGTGGTAGGAAGAGTGGAGGAGGTCGGCAAGTTAGCAGGGGGTGGGGTAGGATTCCCTGAAGAGATGGGTTTTCAGGATGCGCCTAAAGGAGAGGAGAGTAGGTGATAATCTGATGGGTTGGGGCAGGGAGTTCCAGAGGATGGGTGACACCCTGGAGAAGTCCTGGAGGCGGGCATGGGAGGAGGAGACCAGGGAACTAGAGAGAAGGAGGTCTTGTGAGGAGCGGAGTGTGCGTGCTGGGCGGTACTTGGATATTAGGTCAGTGATGTAGTTCGGGGCAGTATGGTGGACAGCTTTGTACGTCAGTGTTAGGATTTTGAATTTGATCCGTTGTGCAATCGGAAGCCAGTGGAGGGATTGGCAGAGGGGGGGGGGTGGCGGAGATGGAGCGGTTGGAAAGGTGAATGAGTCTGGCAGCCGTATTCAGGATGGACTGAAGCGGGGATAGCCAGCGGTGAGGCAGGCCAGTGAGGAGGGAGTTGCAGTAGTCGAGTCGTGATATGATGAGGGAGTGGATGAGCTGTTTAGTGGTTTCTTGGGTTAGGAACGTGCGGATTTTGGCGATGTTGCGGAGGTGGAGTCTGCACGAGTTTGTTAAAGATTGGACTTGGGGCTCTAAGCAAACAGTGCTGACTAGACAATACATCAGAGAAAAGTATTGGTAATTCTGATGATACAATATGTGTAATGTGACAAAAAAGTGGGCCAAAAAGTCATCTGTTATAATACACCATATCTAACATCATGGCCCCAGCAGCTTAGGGACTCTTTATTTGACCCAAGTCCAGTATAGTTATGTAGCACTACCCCCTTAGGAGTCGCTGAGTTTTGGGTCCTCCTATAGTCCTGCAAAGTCAGGCAACACACATTTTCTTTACACTTGCACACTGGAGTCAGTAAAAGAGTCCTTGAGCTAGGTTTTTTTTTTTTTTTTTTTAAAAAGGGGTATTGAACTTGGATGGGGTTGAGGGATGCATGGAATTCCCTTAGGAAACTGAAATTTGAGGACAACTCCTTAGCAACTATGTACAAGTCCACAGACAAAAGATTCTATTTTTGGAGAGCTCTCCAGCCCTCCTGGTGTACCACCACAGACCCCAGATGAATTCTCCTCTTCACCCAGCTTCCTGAGGGAATCCCTGAGCAAGGGGGCCCAGAATCTGCCACTTTTAAATCAACAGTCCCTGAAGGGGGCTAGTCAGGTTTCCCACCAGAATGCCAGTTCCCCTTATCTGGCCTAGGGTGTGTGGGATTACTCACTCAGTCCTCCCCTGGGTTGGTTGCTGCCTTCAGGCCTTATGCTGGCAGGCTCCTTCCCTGATTCCCAGGCTGTCCTCTCTCAGGGGATGGTTGAAGCTGAGAGATCCTCCCTTTCAGATCCTGCCTGCAGGTAGGCCCTTCTCCTGGGCCCCCTCCCAGGCTCCATACTCCAGCCTTTACTCCATCTTCCACAGTACACTCCTCCTCCTGCTGAGCAGGCACAGTCATATTTAAGGGCTGTCCTGGCCCCATGCAAAGTCTCCTGCTTGGGGATTGGCCAAGATCCCTTAATTATGCAGATCAGCCCCTCCTCACCCCCACCCACTGCTTTCTAGAACCTTCTCAAGCTTCTAGAGCACTGGGAGATATCAGGGTTCTGACCTGCAGAGCCCTCAGCCCTGACTTAAATTGGACCTAGGTGATTCATTCCAGGCTGCTATTCAACCTTTGCTTAAAAAACAACTACCGTGTTTTTCGGCGTATAAGACAACTGGGCATATAAGACGACCCCCTACTTTTCCTGCTAAAATGTAGTGTTTGGGCTATACTCGCCGTATAAGACTACCCCTCTTCCAATGCACACCAGTGGGAGGAATAGTGCCCCATCATCGGTGTCAGTGGGAGGAATAGTGCCCCATCATCGGTGTCAGTGGGAGGAATAGTGCCCCATCATTGGTGTCAGTGGGAGGAATTGTGCCCCATCATCGGTGTCAGTGGAAGGAATAGTGCCCCATCATTGTATTAGTGGGAGGAATAGTGCCTCATCATTGGTATTAGTGGAAGGAATAGTGCCCCATCATCAGTGTCAGTGGGAGGAATAGTGCCCCATCATTGGTGTCAGTGGGAGGACTAGTGCCCCATCATTGTATTAGTGGGAGGAATAGTGCCCCATCATTGGTATCAGTGGGAGGAATAGTGCCCCATCATTGGTATCAGTGGGAGGAATAGTGCCCCATCATCGCATCATCGGTGTCAGTGGGAGGAATAGTGCCCCATCATTGGTGTCAGTGGGAGGAATAGTGCCCCATCATTGTATTAGTGGGAGGAATAGTGCCTCATCATTGGTATTAGCGGAAGGAATAGTGCCCCATCATTGGTATTAGTGGGAGGAATAGTGCCCCATCATTGGTGTCAGAGCGACGAATCGTGCCCCATCATTGGTGTCAGTGGGAGAAATAGCACCCCATCATTGGTGTCAGTGGGAGGAATAGCACCCCATCATTGGTGTCAGTGGGAGGAATAGTGCCCCATCATTGGTGTCAGTGGGAGGAATAGCGCCCCATCATTGGTGTCAGTGAGAGGAATCGTGCCCCATCATTGGTATCAGTGGCAGGAATAGTGCCCCATCATTAGTATCAGTGGGGGGAATAGTGCCCCATCATTGGTGTCAGTGGGAGGAATAGTGCCCCAACATTGGTGTCAGTGGGAGGAATAGTGTCCCATCGTTGGTGCCAGTGGGGGGGAGGAATAGTGCCCCATCGTTGGTGTCAGTGGGAGGAATAATGCCCCATCATTAGTATCAGTGACACCAGTGATGGGGCACTATTCCTCCCACTGACACCAATTACACTTGCTGACCCCTGTTCTAGTATGGTGCTGCTGCAGCCAGCATATGTGGTTGCAGCAGCACCTCTACACCACAACACTTACCGGCCGCTCCTTCACTCGATTTTCGCAGGGGCCGCTCGGCTCCGCCCCCTCGCAGGTGATTGGCCGCTGTGTGCCTTTCCTGAGCTACAGTTCTGGCGGTCAATCACCGGTGAGGAGGCGGAGCCGAGCAGCCGTGCGAACATCCAGTGGCCGAACTGAAGGAGCAGCCGCGCCTCCTGGACCGGATCGTCGTGGGACCGGAGCCAGGTAAGAAACAGCAGCCCCTGCCCACCCCTGTACTTAGTGTCCCTTCCGTTAGAGGGGGGGGTGGCGGCGGCACCGCGCCGCCCCCCTAAAAAGTGTCAGTATGCCGTATACCGGCGTATAAGACGACCCCCGACTTTTGAGAGGATTTTCAAGGGGTAAAAAGTCGTCTTATACGCCGGAAAATACAATATATAGCTATCCCTAGTTAACTCGAGGGGTGCTACAGTTGAAAGGTGCTTCCGTAACCCTCAGGAGCCTTTTGAAGTCCTTTAGAAAAAATATTAATATTGACTTCTGCATTATTGTCAATGTATTTTGCCAACGTTTTGGTGAGTAAAAAAATCTTGAAGAGGTATTCCAGGTATGATATTTTATACATAGTTTCATTGGTCTGGCTTGGAGCAATGTAACTACGTATATACCAAACCTGGCTGATCCCCCTGGAAGCTGGAAATCAGTGAAGTAGACATCACTACTGCAGTGATCTCCACTTACTTCCCAGCCCCATGCCTGCTGCATTCTGAACACAGGAGGTCAGGTACTCAGCGCAGGCACCATTTAGAGAATGCTTTGCATTTTCTTAATTATTTCAAAGTGTTCCCTGATTGGATGAGGTGGATAGGCAGTACAGTGACATCACAGGACCTTGAAGTAAGTGGAGATCAGTGGATTAGTAGTGTCAGCTTCAGTGATTTCCAGCTTCCAGGGACATTTGCCAAGTATGGTATCTACATAGTTACACTGGTCCAAGCTGGACAAATGTAAGTATGTATAAAATATCCATAATGCTTCTTTAAAGTGTTATTAAACCCAGTAACCCTGCATTCATTATATCTGGTCTCCCCGGACCCTGCATTCATTATATCTGGTCTCCCCGGACCCTGCATTCATTATATCTGGTCTCCCCGGACCCCGCATTCACTATATCTGGTCTCCCCGGGCCCTGCATTCACTATATCTGGTCTCCCCGGACCCTGCATTCACTATATCTGGTCTCCCCGGACCCTGGATTCACTATATCTGGTCTCCCAGGACCCTGCATTCACTATATCTGGTCTCTCCCGGACCCTGCATTCACTATATCTGCTCTCCCCGGACCCTGCATTCATTATATCTGGTCTCCTCGGACCCTGCATTCACTATATCTGGTCTCCCCGGACCCTGCATTCATTATATCTGGTCTCCCACAGTGCACAAAACATGGAAATGCAATTATTTTAGTAAATATAAACTGCTAAATGCCATTTCTCATCAGCTGTATAGAGCAGTCTTGTGACTTCTATCAGTGTCCGGCCCAGCACTGCTTAAAATTTGTTTTCATTCTGCTCTGACTGCCCCATGACTGCAGAACCCCTGACCCTCTGTCTGGACAGTGCCGATTGGCCCTGTGCTGATCACATGCACCTTCCCAAGTAAAAAAAAACTCTTTAGCCATAAACACTAAACTGAGCATGTGCAGAGTGACTCATAGAGCTCTGTACTATCAGCAGATGGATTGGGGACAGTAGAAAAAGAGGAGGATCAGAGAAAGGTTTCTTTAGGAAGATGCAGAACCCCTGACCTCTGTCTGGACAATGCTGATTGGTCCTGTGCTGATCACATGCACGCTCCCAAGAAAAAAAACAAAAACCTCTCTAGCAATGGATACCAAATTGAGCATGTGCAGAGTGACTCCACACAATATGTGTTATCAGGAGATATGAGGGGGGCACTGGAAAAAGAGGAGAATCAGAGAAGACAGGATCAAACAGCCATTTTACACAATGCAGAGGATTAACCCCTTAGGTTCCACAGTGAGTATAGCAAGCACGCTTTACTGCATATATAGACTGTTGATTTAGTAACACTTTAATTTCACTCATCTCTATTCCAGATATGTATCCCAATTCACCATGCATCACTGATATTTTCCACAAAAGGTTTTCCAATATTGGTAGGACATAAAATAATTAGTTTTGCATAGTGAAGAAATTAGATTGCTTTGATACTTATAACCTTTAACAAATATACTGTATAATCACAACTATCGAAAACAAAAATGAAGTAAATGAAGTGAAAATCAGTAAATGCATCCAACATTGTTCAGTCATCAAGAGGAAATACAGCTTGCAGAATAAAATGTGCACATTTGGTGAGTTATTGGGCTTGTTAGATACCAAATAGAAGATAAATGTTTGAGATATCATATTGCTAATCAAAATCTGTCTGACATCCATGTAAGATGGGTACAACTAAGAGGACTATGGGGGTCACCAGTGGCCATGAGGAATAAATCAGTATACAATATAAAGTCCTGACCACCAGTGATATAGAGGATTATTATTAGAGGTGAAAAAAGCCAGGTACTACAGAGATTTTGCCAGTACAGGGTAACCTCGGTTTACGAACGCCTCTGTTAACATAATTTTCAGATTACGAATGAAAATCACTTGAAGATAATGCCTCGGTTTACAAATTTTTTCCGCAATATGAAGTTTCCCAAGATGCATTGTGCCCGGGAGGTTTATAGTGCCGGCCCCGTGCCTTTAACCACTAGCCTACCGGGCACTTATATCCCCTTCCTGCCCAGGCCAATTTCCAGCTTTCAGCGCTGTTGCACTTTGAATGACAATTGCGCGGTCATGCAACACTGTACCCATATGACATTTTTATCATTTTTTTGTGACAGATAGAGCTTTATTTTGGTGGTATTTAATCACCTCTGGGTTTTTTTCTCTTAAACAAACCAAAACCCACTGAACATTTTGGAAAAAAAAAAACCTTTTTTCTTCGTTTTTGTTATAAAAGTTTGTAAATAAGTGATTTTTCTCCTTCACTGATGTGTGCTAATGAGGCTGCAGTGATGGGCACTAATAGGCTGCACTGATGGACACTGATAGGTGGCACTGATGGGCACTGATGAGGAGGCACTGGTAGGTGGCACTGATGGGCACTGACAGGCATCACTGATGGGCACTGAAAGGCAACACTCATATATGGCACTGTTAGGCGGCACTGATAGGCGGCACTGACTGGCACTGTTAGGTGGCACTGATAGGCAGCACTGACGGGCACTGATAGGTGGCACTGATGCACACTGATAGGCGGCACTGACTGGCACTGATGGGTGACACTGAAAGGCAGCTCAGATGGGCACTGAAATGTGGCATTGATGTGGCACTGATGGGCACTGGCAGGTGGCATGGATGAGCACTGAGAGCTAGCACTGATGGACAATGACAATTGGCGCTGCTGGGGCTACACAGATCATCAGAGCCCTGATGATCAGTGTAGATGTCCTCTCCGAGGAATGCCGATAACCGGCTCTCCTCTCCTCTGTCAGCGTGACAGTTCGTGGGGAGAGAAATGCAGATAACCGACATTTCCCTGTTTACATGTGATCAGCTGTGATTGGACACAGCTGATCACATGACCGAGCTGACATCTTCGGCTCTTTCCGCGGATCGGTGATGCGCTGTGCCCGAGGGACACAGCGCACCGCCAATCGCCACGCTGCGTGCTCCCGGAATATGACATCCTCACAGAATGAGAGAACCGCCTTGCACCCGTCATTCTACTATATATGGCGGGCGGGGGGGGCGGTTAAAGTGCACTTTATAAAGAGTTTTGAACAGATAAAACTTTTTTTTAACTTTCTTCTGACCTCCAGAACGGATTAATTGCATTTCAATGCATTTACAAATTTTTTTTTAATCATGTCCCTTTAAGCTTTTAAAGTGCACTTTATAAAGAGTTTTGAACAGATAAAATACTTTTTTTTTAATTTTTTCTGACCCCTGGAACGGATTAATTGATTTTCAAAACATTTACAAATTAATTTTTAATCATGTCCCTGTACAGTATTTATGCCTTTACAGTGTACTTTATGAAGAGTTTTGAACAGATAAAAGATGTTTTTGTTATTTTTTCGGACTCCCGGAACGGATTAATTGGTTTTCAATGTATTCTTATGGGAAACTATGTTTTGGTTTACGAGTTTTTTGCAATACGAAACATCCCGGAGAACGCATTAAATTCGTAAACCGAGGTACGCCAGTATAGGGTAGACAGACCCTTCAACAGTCCTTCAAAAGTTTCCTATGAGACATGTCTTTTGTATCCTGACATGGTAGTTTACCACACATTGTTCTTGCTCCATGTGCTGAATAGCCCTGGGTGCATCATCTCTTCTGTTCCTAAATAAAATGAATGAGTTCCCTTATGATTCTAACTGCTACCTTGTCCAGTCTGCACTAAGACTCTGTAAGGCTCCTTCAAATTTGAAATCTCTTCACAAATCCCCAAATCCCGATCTCAGACCGCACACATTCTTCAAAGACTCAAAAAAGCTTAGCAAGGCCTTAGAAAGGAAAATCCAAGCAAAGCTTCAACTTCTCCGCTTTCTCATTGACATCCAGAAATTAAGAAGCTCTATAGCTTATCCAGATTGGAGATTAAGGCACAGCTTTGGGCACCTTCAGCCGTCCAGATGCAGGGAAGCTGCAAGTTCCACTATACACTGCCAAGCAGACGGAGTTGGCTCTGAAAGCTGACCAGTGGGGGGAATTGGGTGGACTTCCATACAGTGGAAGAAAGAAAATTCTGAATGGAAAATATGAAGGATTCATTTTTGCCTTCTTTGGCCAGTAGCCTTTATATTCTGAAGAAAGGAATGTCCACACAAAAGAACTATAGTTGCTGAATTTGGTGTTACTTCACAAGATGGCAATTACAGTCACATCACATATACATGCTATCCAGGGTCACTTGAGAGTACTTTGTCAATCACATATAGCAGACAATACGCAGCAGTCACATGTGAAAGCAGCATACAACACTTCACCCTTCAGCCATCTTCCATTTTACAGTTTTTCTCCTTCCCAGGGTCATTGGTACTCACAGAGAGGGCTCTGGCTTGCCTTAGGCTATCTCTTCCAGCTCATAACTCCTTGCTTGTCGTTCTAGAGACAGGAACGCTGCAGCTGCACCTCTAACTCCAGTACACTTCATCCAGGTCCTCCAAGGGGACAGACATACTTCAGAGAGCATTTGTCCTGCCTTGAAACACCTTTTGCAACCTGCTCTAATCTCCACACTATTGGAGACAGAAGCTGGCTCTTCTGGGTGCAAAACTATCACTCCCTGTCCTCCAGAATTGTCCAGGGCTCCTGTATTAGGTGACTATCTGCACACTGTGGGTAATCTGGCTCCATGCCCCAACTGCACCCATCCTGGCTTCTATATGGGCTCTGACTTACCCATGACATCACTACAGGAGGACTCTAACGAAAAGGGACCTAGCACCTTATTATACTTGTCTGTCACCCCACAATATTCCAGGACAGAACCAACTAGTGGCAGACTAGATAACTGCACCTGCTTACAGCCAGTCAAGAGATGCCTAAATATCAGTGGCTGTCAGCACCGCTATTGATACATTATTGGTTGTGAATCTGCACATGATCATTTTTGGAATTCAATTATAGTTGCTGAGTTTTCACCAAATATATTTTTGGCACCAAGAAATCGTGAAATCGTTAACACATGAAATTTCAGCACACAATGATTGCACCCTAAAGTTAATGCTATCAGCCCTAGAGATGACCACCTAAAAAAATACAAAACTGCAGGTAATTTGAAACCCCTGAAGCTGCTTTTTGGTGTCCAAAGAAACTAAGGTTGGCAAGTTTCAATGATCTGTTTAAGTGTTTTTGTGACTGAAATTGGTTCAGATTGACAGAAAATTGTGTGTGTGATCAACATAAAATTTTGCCTCAATCTAAATCGTCTAACCCAGAACCTCAACCTAACCTACCATATTTTTCACTCCATAAGAAGCACCTGACCATAAGACACACATAGGTTTTAGAGGAGGAAAACAAGAAATAAAATATTCTGAACCAATGGACTGCAGACATAGTACAGGAGATGACCAGAGATTGCGGATATAGTACAGGAGATGACCAGAGACTGCGGACATAGTACAGGAGATGACCAGAGATTGCGGATATAGTACAGGAGATGACCAGAGACTGCAGACATACTACAGGAGATGACCAGAGACTGCGGACACAGTACATGAGATGACCAGAGACTGCGGACATAGTACAGGAGATGACCAGAGACTGCGGACATAGTACAGGAGATGACCAGAGACTGCAGACATAGTACAGGAGATGACCAGAGACTGCGGACACAGTACGGGAGATGACCAGAGACTGCGGACACAGTACAGGAGATGACCAGAGACTGCGGACACAGTACAGGAGATGACCAAAGACTGCGGACACAGTACAGGAGATGACCAGAGACTGCGGACACAGTACAGGAGATGACCAGAGACTGCGGACACAGTACAGGAGATGACCAGAGACTGCGGACAAAGTACAGGAGATGACCAGAGACTGCGGACAGTACAGGGATGACCAGCGACTGCGGACAGTACAGGAATGACCAGAGACTGCGGACAGCACGGGGATGACCAGAGACTGCGGACAGTACAGGGATGACCAGAGACTGCGGACACAGTACAGGAGATGACCAGAGACTGCGGACACAGTACAGGAGATGACCAGAGACTGCGGACATAGTACAGGAGATGACCAGAGACTGCGGACACAGTAGTACAGGAGATGACCAGAGACTGCGGACACAGTACAGAAGATGACCAGAGACTGCTGACAAAGCTAATGGCCACTATTCAGTGCTCCTACTCCTCGACCTCTCTTCGCGGCTTTCGACACGGTTGACCACCCCCTCCTCCTCAAAAAACTACACTTTCTTGGCCTCAGAGACTCTGCTCTCTCCTGACTCTCTTCCTATCTATCACAGCGCTCCTTCAGTGTTACCTATAACGCTGCCACCGCCCCCTCCCTCCCCCTCTCTGTTGGGGTCCCTTGAGGCTCTGTCCTCGGGCCCCTTCTCTTCTCCATCTACACCTCCTCCCTTGGCCAACTGATACACTTCCACGGCTTCAACTACCATCTCTATGCCGATGACACGCAAATCTATCTCTCTACCCCCCACCTCACCCCTTCAGTCTCCACCCGTATCGCAAGCCTACTGAGCGACATATCGGATTGGATGTCACTCCACTTCCTCAAATTAAACCTTTCCAAAACCGAGCTCCTAGTTTTCCCCCCAGCCCGCGCCCCCCCCCCCCTTGACTTCTCCATCACGACCAACAATGCCACCATCAGTCCCACCCCGCAAGCCAGAGTACTAGGTGTCATCCTAGACTCCAATCTGTCTTTCCAGCCCTAGGTCCAATCACTGACTAACTCATGTAAACTCAACCTCCGCAACATCTCCAAAATACGTCCGTCCCTAACCCCAGAAACTACTAAGCAACTCATTCACTCCCTTATCATATCACGACTTGACTACTGTAACTCCCTCCTCACCGGCTTACCTCACCACAGGCTATCCCCGCTTCAGTTCATCCTGCATACTGTGGCCAGACTCATCCACCTTACTAACCGCTCCGTATCCGCCACCCCCCTCTGTCAATCCCTCCACTGGCTTCCGATTGCCCAACGGATAATATTCAAAATGCTAACATTGACATACAAAGCTGTTCATAACACTGCCCCAAACTAGCACCTGAGGACACCGTCTGCTGCAACCAGACACTATTCTGATACAGAGCCATCCACTGCCAAAGTTGCTAACTGCACCTGCCTACAAGGAGGTTACTGACACTGGCAGTTTGGTTCCTGGCTCATTCAGTGCAGAGTGCGGGAAGGATCTGCTGATCAGAAGTGATACTTAAACCTCAAAGAGTCATGTTAATGCTGATTCATTGCTGGTGTTAAGAGTGAGATCTGGATAGCAGAAATTCTGATGTGCAAGGTGAGTCACTGGGACTGGAACCAAGGCTTGGAGTGAAGATGGACTTGTGGATAGGTCAGGTGTTGGGAGCAGTACACTGAGAGACAAATGTTTCAGAGAGTAATCTTTTGCGGGAGGACCTTTACTACAAAGTGTATTTAGCCTTTGATTGACTGTTTAAACCAAAGGGATTGTAAAAATATTGGAAGTATTCTTTTTTTTTTTAAAAATTGTGGGGCATAGACGCACACAATTTCACTGCTGCTGTACAACCTTTTTATCTAGTGTGATGACTATGGGGTGAAGATATGCAGGAGAAAAAATATCTACAGTATGACTTGGTACCCTGCAAGCTGCTAGGTTTTGATGGTCATGGTGCCATTTCTTCCATCGTAAAGCCTCTTGACCAGGCAGGGTGTAAATTGGTTAAATAATACAAAAACTGATAATCTAACAGATTCCTCGAACTTGAGGTACCCTAAGACTTAACCTAACCCATTCATTTAAACCTTTAATGAGCCAAGCTCCTAAACCTAACACCTAAATCTCAGCCTAACCCCTAAAACCTAATCTATAAAATAGCTCAGCTACCAAAACCGAACCCCTGAACCTAACCCATAAACATAACCTTTAACCTTAGCCCAGCTTCCAAAACCTAATACCCAATCTACTGTATAAACCTAAACTTCAACTTGACCCACATGTCTAAATCTAACACTAAACCTCAACTAAACCTTTAACTTTAGTCTTTTTTTTAATGTTCTGTCCCCTATGAGAAAATACATGTAATACTACAGTATGTCCCATGTTGCTAGGTATAGTACTTCCTATCCTTAGGTATGAGGTCTGAACCTTCTCTTCTGCTGTGGTAGCTCTGACAACAACTAGGAAGGAGAAAGCTGCTTAATAGTGGTAGCTTGTTTCAGTTCTGAGGACTTTTTCAAGACAAGAAGCAGCAAGAAAAATGCATTTCTCTTGCTGCCGCTTGTCTGGGGAAAGTGCTCAGAGCCTAGATGAGCTTTTATGAAGCATCCTTCTCCTTTCTAGCTGTTGGCAGATCGACTGCAGCAGCAGAGGAGGTGGGGGTAGGTGGGAACTCATAGCTAGGGATAGGAAGCACCTAGCAACATACGTGCTTCTTCCCATTGGGAACAGAACTGTAAAGAAAAATATGATAGTTCTTTAAGCTTGAGCCTTAAATTCAGCCTAACCCATTAAACTAATCTTTAACCCAGCTTTTTGTGAGACAAAGCAGGGAATCCTAAGTCCTCAGAATGATTTAGTGAAGTGATTCTCTAAGTATAGCTGGGCAATTATGGAAAATAGGTTTATAAATCTAGTTTCCAGTTAAAGGAACATTCCACGTTCCTCGAAAACGATGTACATAATTACCACACAAGTCATTTTGCAAATTATGGTTATTAAAAATGACCTTTCCATTCCTTTATGGTTTTCTAAACTTGTCAAACGTTCAAACAATGTCAGTAATGACAATGCTGGAGGTGTTCAGTATGTTATGTGCTTACAGAAAACTCCCAAGTGTAATTTTCTGTTTTCTTGTATAATTATGTTTATTGGTTTTAAATAGAATAATAACATTCATGCCCATGCAGGGGCTAAAATATCTGATAGAAATAACAGACAATAGGGGTGAGATAATCAACCATGTGCCATAGTAAACCTTCAGAATCAGAACATGAAGCTTGAAGGCCTCTTTACAGGACTACTGTATGTTGGCAGATAGATGGTCATGACTTCTAATTAAACGTGTAGGTCTGCGCAAGAAAAAGGGGAAAAGGGAGGTTGTGGGGAAAACTGGTAGGAGACAGGTAATAATAGTACAGGGTTGGGGGATCAGGAAAGGTTATCTGAGAGCAGATGTTAAAAGGAAGGAGGCAGGGACCCATAGGAGAATGGGTTACAAAACGGGGATACATTAGGATGTATCCCCCCATGGACTTGAGACTAGGGGCCAGGAAAGTAGGTTATACATAACTCAGACTAGGTCAATGATAATCAAGTTCAATTATGAAAAGACAAAAGTAAGCCATGGTTCCCATATTTTAAGAAAATTAGGTTTTTGCCAGTTTCAGTATCAGCAGCACAGTAGCTGTCAGGGATACCAGCAGTAGGGATGGCCAGATCTGCGTAGCTGCACTTAAAGTGATATTAAAGGCAACTTTTTTTAAAACAAACATATCATACTTACCTGCTCTGTGCAGTTGTTTTGCACAGAGCGGCCCCAATCCTCTTCTTCTCAGTTCCCCTGCCAGGAAGGGGAAGAAGGACTAGGAATCAGGAGCAAGGGGTGCAAGTAAAAGGCAGCAGGGTACAAGGTATAGATACAGGGCAGGATCAGGATCTAGGCTCAGGATAAGTCAACAAGCAAATTAGGAAAAACACTGAAGTAAAGGGTAATAGTAGAGGAAGGACTAAATACCCTCTGTCAGGAATGGACTTGCCAGTGGTGGTGGGACTGCCTTGTGGGCTGCAGTACCAGGGCTGGCCAGCGGGTGCTCTCAGCAACCAGAGGCTCACTCTTGCAATGAGCCATCACCTGAGGCTGATTGCAGCAGGTGTATTTAAGGAATGGCCAGACCTGCAGTCAGGGCCTTGGTGTAATGTTTCCCATGAGTCCCTGTACCTGCATCCTGTCTACTTCCTGCCTGATCCTGCTTTATCCTGACTCTGCATGAACTCTGCCTGTCCTGACCTCGGCTATTCCTGACTACTCTTCCGCCTGCTCCTTGTACCTTGCCTGCCCGTTTGCTACCGACCCGGCCTGCCTGACTACGTTGATTTGTATATATGGTTATCTGTTGGAGTTTGGGTTGTTTGCACTGTGTTATGTTTACCTTGCACTGCATTTGTGTTGTTTAGTCTTAACAAATTGTCTTATTTATACTATACCTGAAGCCTGCATTTCCCTGTGTCAGTCCACACATTTCTGGTCATACCCGGATCCCTAACACCCTCCCAGCAGCTAGCATCAGGTGCAGACTTCTGGGAGACACCTGCTGGTGGACACAAGAACTACAATCTTCTGCTATGGGAACCACAGTGCCACCAGCCGGTGACCCTGGTCCTGACAGTAGAATGTAAAAATCTGAAAAATAACTTGCTAAAATCCTAACTTTGTACATGAATGACTTGGATTTTCTTTTTAATTGTTTTACTATACGTGGAACCTGTCAGAAAAGAAGTACTGGAGCTGCTAATTTGCTATTGAAGGTACTAACTCCTGTCATCCTCAGCAAGTAAAGTGTTAGGGTCAGGACTAACCGTGCAGTGATACAGATATAGGGGATGACACCACCAGAGCTTCACCTTCAAAAACAACTCATTAGCAATGGCAGCTCCCACATTATTAGTCCTACCAGTCCCCTCTAATGACACAACTTCTATAAAAATATCTACCATTTTAGGGCTTCCATGGAGATTCTGATGTATATTTATAGAAAACAATAATGAAAAAGAAAAATATCTTTATCTTATGCAGCTAACTGTATAACAAATACATTTTATTACATAAAAAACGTGTAAAGACACACAGGCACAAGTTAAGAACAAAGGAATATCTACTATGTGTAGCACTACCCCCAAA